GCGAGATGCCTTCTACAGAACTTCCATGCAGCGGGCGTGTAATATCCGGGCGAGCAACTTTTTTCACTTTTGCAACGACTTGCATGTGATGGTTTCGCCTTGAGTCAAGAACGCCCGACATCATTTCGGCTAAGTTGTATGCTCGGGGCGTCGGGAAGGGCAGCGATAGTTTCTGACATTTCGGAGGTTCTTGTGGCGCTGAGTGGTTGTAGGTGAATGGAGTATCTGCAGGTAGTGTGCTGGACAGGTTTGCGCTAGGCTCGAGACGATTGGCAATACGTAAATGAATGCTTCGAGAAGCTCTGGATTCGTCGGCTACGGGGTGCACTGTTCGGCTTGGATGGCCAGAACTGCGGAACCCAATACCAGCTGCTCGGTGCCAAACCCAAAGCGATATATCATGGTTGCCCAACTTTCATATGCGGACGCGAGTCGTTGCTGCTATATCGAGATGGGAGCCGGCAGACATGACGGCATCAGCACCCCGTCGGGGACTTTTTTTCGTGAGCGACGCCTGCTCTTCACCTACAACTCTGGCACGACGCTCGCCGAAGTTTGCCTCGAACCATACATCCTCACGACAGTAGCTACAGCGCTCGGGCCAGTGAACCAGCTTGTTCGTGCCACACGCACCCATCACCTGCAGCTAGACGGCGTCATTCCGGGCTGGAAGCTAGCTCCTACAGGCAATTGGCAGGTCCGAAGCACCAAACGCAACCTAGGCAGCTACATCGCAGCGGTGGACTGAGACAGCCAAACCTCAAACCTGGCGAGTCGTTCAGCTTCCTCACGACCTCCTCCCAAACCCAGCAGCAAGATGGCGCCCCCTCCCAAGCAGAGAAAGGTGGCCATTGTCGGCAGCAGAGCCGTCGGTACGTGGTTGCCCGAAGCTCGCGCAGCTTCACATGCAAGTACCAACAAACAGCATACTGACGCGAGGGTGCACAGGCAAGTCGAGTCTGACGGTGCAATTCGTCGACGGGCACTTTGTCGACAGCTACTACCCGACCATCGAGAATACGTTCAGCAAGATGATCAAGTACAAGAACCAGGACTATGCGACTGAGATCATCGATACGGCTGGCCAGGTACATGAGGTTTTCTTTTCCCCCGCGTCGCGAAGCTCAGCCCAGGTCGACGCCCCACCTGCGATGCTTCACGCGCGTCTCTGCTGAGCATGCCATGCCGTGCACCTCAAGCTGTTACTGAGCACCCGCTGACTCGGGTACCGCCTTCCAGGATGAATACAGCATTCTCAACTCCAAGCACTTTATCGGCATTCATGGCTACATGATTGTCTACTCGGTTGCCAACAAGCAGAGCTTTGAGATGGCGCGCATCATTCGCGATAAGATCCTGAACCACCTTGTGAGTCTGACATGTGACACGCTCCGCGCCACTGCCTAACCACCCCTCACACTAGGCCGTCGAATGGGTTCCCCTCGTCATCGTGGGCAATAAGTCTGACCTGCGTCCCGAACAACGCCAAGTCACGCCTGAAGACGGCAAAGCCCTCGCCGCCGAGTTCAAATGTGCCCACACCGAAGCCAGCGCGCGCTACAACGAGAACGTACAAAAGGCCTTTGAGCTTATGATTGCGGAGGTGGAGCGGTCCCAGAACCCTGGTGAGCCCGCTGGCGGCAGCAAATGTACAGTCATGTAATTCCAAGATTCTTGACTGACATGAGCGCGTGTGCCAGTCGGCGTGGACAAATACCCGGCTCTCCAGAAGGAGCGCGAGGATAAGGCGGAGAAGCGGCGGAACAGTGCGCACCTCCTCAAGCATCCGTTTGACCATCTCACGAACGCGCTCAAGAAGAAGTAAGAGGAGGTATACTTTTGTTTGGTTGTTGTAGATGGCATAGACGGTGGCTGACTTGTCGCGATGATTCTTTTACGCGTTCTGGGTTTTCACTATCCTCATGGAAGGCAATAGTGTGTAATGGCGTAATGGTGTGAGCGGCGGTGTAATAGGCGTTATTATCTGGTATTCTGGGGTTCAAGCTGTTTGTCAATGACGATGTTTCACGGCTGTAGTACTACGTATCACTTTACGTTACTTTCAACAATAGACAGTATACGTTCATGTCAACTCAAAGTTGTGTACATCAATGTTCGCGTGGAGTTCTGAAGGTCACGCCGGGCCCTGCATTTCGACTCGACAGGCTTGCGATGCACCGACCACCACCCACCATTTCTACCCACAGACCTTACAGTATTAGGAAGCTCGAAGCTTTGACGGAAAAGCTACTGCTTTCAACGGCACTTCTGTCCAGCCTACTCGATTCGGCAGTTTGAGCTTTGATACTCTGCAAGATGTGTTTTGCCTGCGATGCTTTCCTGTAAACCTGGGCTTGGGAGATATAATCCATCTTTGAAATGCACAAATGTTGTCACATCACCGGTGCATACGTCATTCATTTCTACCTTCCCAATAGGGCAGTTTCGCATCCCGCCCATCGAGTGCAGCACTTTCAATCCGCGTGGTATCCCAGCCAAAGCAGAAAACGCCAAGCGTTCTGAACAGACTCGTCCTGATTCGTTCTAGTGCGGGTCGCTCAATCTAATCCCTGTCGCTGTTTGAGTAAGGTGCGGGACACTGATGAGTCCCGCGTTTTGAACATCTCTCGATACGAGTCTACTCACACCACACACGACGGAATTCTGCTTGTGATACGCAAGCTGAGAGACGGAAAGGATGCTCGATATGTACGTTGCCTCTTTTTTTTTTGCGCGAGGAGAAAGTGGGGGTTGCTTGGATGCGCACGCGCTGAAGTTGGGCTTGGAGGGGCTGGAATTGGGGGAGTAGACATGGAGAGGGCGAGATTGGATGTTGCGTTGGGGAAATGAAGAGATATGGGCTGACGTCTGTGTCTATACAGAAACGACTTCATCAAGGAGCGCGGCGGCGAGCCCGACGTATGTACTCCCCGACTCGTTCTTGCGCGACATTGAATGTTGTTGCCATGCTAATACTGCGACCAGAAAATCCGCGAGTCCCAGAAGAAGCGATGCGCGCCCGTAGAGATTGTCGACGAGATCATCGCAGACTTTGAAGGCAAGAGCGACTCCAAAAGTCTTGCCGGGAAGGTCACTAGAACTTACACCGGCTACAGACCACCGTCGCACACAATACGATGCCACCCAATTCGGCTCCAAGATAAACGCGGTTCAGAAGAATATCGGCGCCAAGAAGAAGGCCAAGGAAGACGCCTCCGAGCTGCTCGAGGAGAAGAAGAAGCTGGAGGCCGAGAAGAAGGAGAAGGAGGCTGAAGCTGCGGAGAAACTGGCCAAGCTGCTCACAAAGACGAAGACGGTCGGAAACTACGTGTACAAGGACGTTCCAGTCAGCGATAGCGAGGACAACAACGCGGTTCAGAAGACATGGGCTCCTGCGGACCGGAAAGCAGAGTTCAAGGCAGATGGCATCCCACATCACGGTGTACTTGCGCGGTTGAATGGATACGACCCGGAGAGAGGCACCAAGATTGTTGGGCACAGAGGATACTGCCTGACTGGATACGGTGTCTTCCTCAACCAAGCGCTCATCAACTACGGTCTTGAGTTCCTGGTAAGCGCGCAAAGCACCGAGTTCTACAGAACGCTATACTGACATAATCATTCCCCAGTTCAGCAAAGGCTTCACACCCAACCAACCGCCCTTCTTCATGCTCCGCGACCAGATGGCCAAGACCGCACAACTCTCCGATTTCGACGAGGAGCTATACAAGGTCACCGAGAGCAAGGACAAGCCAGAGACCGACAAGTACCTCATCGCCACCTCAGAACAACCCATCTCCGCCCTTCACTCCGAGGAGTGGCTACACGACAAGGAGCTACCCATAAAGTACGCCGGATACTCCACAAACTTCCGGAAAGAAGCTGGCTCGCACGGCAAAGACGCATGGGGAATCTTCCGGATACACCAGTTCGAAAAGGTTGAGCAGTTCCTCCTCACAAACCCCGAGAAGTCTTGGGAAGCTTTCGACGAGATGCTAGCCAACTCTGAGGAGTTCTACCAGAGCTTAGGTCTGCCTTACCAGGTTGTTGCCATCGTTTCTGGTGCGCTGAACAACGCTGCTTCCATGAAGCGCGATCTTGAGGCCTGGTTCCCTGTCACAGGTGGTGGAGAGTACAAGGAGCTTGTTTCCATTTCCAACTGCACCGACTACCAGACGCGCGAACTGGAGATTAGACATGGAATTAAGAAGTTGAACGCTACGAGGAAGGAGTACGTTCATGCGCTTAACGGTACTCGTAAGTTACTCCCGACACCCCATCTTCTCGCTTGAGAAGGGAATCATGAAAACTAATTTGTGTGTTACAGTGTGCGCGACTGAGCGAACTCTCTGCTGTATCCTTGAGAACTACCAGACACCCGAGGGCTTCGTCGTTCCGGAGGTGCTAAGGAAATACATTCCGGGTCAGCCTGACTTCTTGCCTTTTGTCAAGGAGTGGAGGGCGCCCAAGGAACCTATTCCTGACCGGACAAAGTAGGTGGTTGTCGCGCTATGTGGTGACTGCGAGGATGCATTGGCGAACAGCATCGTGCCGGGGGATTCAAAAAGAAAACCCGTACGTACGCTGAGTCATAGCCTCGGTGGGTGGTGAAATAGTCCACCAAAGAAATCATGAGAGAGCAATTCCACCCATCGTAGAGCGTTGAGATGCGAATGTGATCTGAATGATACTTTACATCTCCAAAACGTCGCTTCTTAGACCCACATCCCTCCTCCCCGCCACCCTCCACCTAATCATCACCGCCTCACTCTCCCCCTGTCTCCCCCTCATCCACAAGCCTATTCTCCCAACTCCCCAACCACCTCCACCCCCTACACACCTTATCCAGCTCTCCCAGCGCTTTATCCACATCTCCATCTCCATCCCCATCCCCATCCCCGTCTTCCCCACCACCATCCGTCTTCCTCCCCTTGAACTCGACAAAGAAAACATAATGCCAATTCCTTACTCCACTCGGCCTCGTATTTATACTCGTGAGGTTAATCCCATGACGTGAAAACACCGTCAGACAATTCGCCAGCGCACCAGGATTCGAATGCTCGATGGTGAAGGTGATGAGTGATTTCCAGGTGTTTGCGTTGTTAGAGCTGGTTGATGGCGTCCTAATAGTAGTTCTGGAATTCGGCGCGGTTGTCGTCTCTACGCCCCCATCATCGTCTTTCCGGCGTATGACGAAGAATCTGGTGCTGTTACCCTTTTTATCGTTGATCTCCTTGGCCAGCACGTCCAGTCTGAAGAGCTCTGCGGCGATTTCACTAGATAAGGCGGCGGACTCGCCGGTTTTATCTTGACTCGCGATTTCCGCGGCTTTGCTCGTGGAACTCACGTCGTGCCTCTCAGCCGTCTTGAGGTACTTGGCCAGAAAGTTCTTACACTGGCCCCAAGCCTGTGGGTGCGAGTACAGTTTCTTGATGTGCGAGAAGTCTTTGCCATTTCTTCCATCTCCATCTCTTTCGCCGGTACTTGAAGCATTCGAATACCCCAACAAACAGTGCTTAACAGCCACATACGCCTCTCCCGTAACAAGAATATCAGGATACTTGTTGTTTAGGTCGGCGAAGAGGTCGAGGGTAAAGACTACGCTGCCGTTTGAGCTGTTTTCAAAGGGGACGACGCCGCGGTATGCGATGCCGGATTGGACGGCGGAGAAAACGTCTTCGATTGTTATGGAGGGGGTGAGGGTTACTGGTGGCGTTGTTGGTGATGCTGGGGGGAAGGCGGAGAGGGCGGCCTGTGGGGGTGGTGTTAGGATGGGGATGTGGGGGTTGGCTGTGAGGGTTGATCTTAATGGGGGAGAGAGGGAAACTTTTGTCATCTATTGTTTGTGACGGAAGGAATGATATACGGAAAAGTGGTTGTGACGAAAGATTGAACCTGTGACATTGTCTGTTCAAGCTGATGGCTAGATTTGAGTGGGGGAACCCAATCATGGCTATCATGCTCTTATAATTTGACTCACTTGATGTGTGTAGCTGCCCTCAGGACCTAAGAAGGCCACGATCGGTCTCTTTTCATCTGCCATGTTTGTGCGTGGCTTCTGAGATGTTGCGTATGTACACAGATAAATCACTGAATATCGGAATGACGTCGGAACCCGGTATCGGCGCTAGTAAAAGCAAAGACTAACTTGTCATCCCCATGGGGCGTGTTGCGCCCTAATGTTTGTCTTGAAATTGATCGAAAGGGTGGGGCCATGTACAAAGCACAGAACGTCACGCGCATCACTACGAACATTCAATCTCATTTTCAAATCAATTTTATATTCAGCTGGAGTAGAGCGAGCGACAAGCTGACGCATATTGGGCGAGCAATCTGCCTGTCCTTCTTCCGTAAAGGACTACTTTTCAAGAGGTTCGCAATCGACAATTGACGGTAGCCACCCTTCTGGATCCCTATGCTTTCTAGTCCTTATTGTAGCTAAGTTAGAGCTTCTCAGACCGAGTTTTGAAGAGGTCGAGCCTGTATGAGGCTGCTGCCTCTCCATGCAAGCGAGAGCGGGTCGTGGTAAGAATGGTGCTGGTCGACCTTGTAAAAATTAGTCAATGGTTGCTGGGGGACGGATACTAGTCGTACATTGCAAACCCTCCATAGGCACTCCCATCTTACAATCTGGAAAGGCGAAGTGTCGTTGCTTCGACTACTCCGGCCTTGATCTCGGACACGTCTTTTTGACTTTTCGCGCAGGTAGCGGACGTTCCGTCACTCGAAGCGAGTGGGGACGCTACCTCGCAGTCAGCGAGGGCGCACAACCGTCAATCATCGTAGAATTCATCTTCATCTTCGTCGAAGTCTTGCAGTTGCTCAAAGTTGAGCGCATAACGGAGGATGGCGCCGATACCACCAAAGCCCTTGACGAACTGGTTGCCCTCGGATGAACGGTCGGAAACAAACTCCAGGTTGGCACCAAAGTCGCGGTACTTCTCGGCGAGCCACTCAAGCATGGAGCCTTGATCGATGACTTCCATCTCTTGGCCGGTTTCCTTGTCCATGAATATGCTTCGGTCCTCTTCTTGCTGCTTGGTGGTGTGGAGGATGATTTCCGCGCCCGCAGAGCTCTTGAGAACCCAGCGAGTAATCTCCAGGTTCTCAAAGACGATCAGAGTCTCAGCAGCACCAGCCTCCAGAGCCTTCAGGGTGTCGTCGATACCGTAGCAGACCTTGCCGGAGTCCTTGGAGATGTGGTCAAAGTACTCGTTGATGAGCTTCTTCTCCTGAATGAACTTGACGTTGCTGAGGGTCTCGCCAGCCAACTCGATGGCCTGGTTGAAACCGTTCTCGCCTCCGTAGGACACATCGACGACCTTGATGACCTTGGACTGCAGACGGTTATCGAAGAGATCGGATTGGTTAAGGTCGTTCTTGAAGTCGGCGGAACCAGCGAGAATGATACCGGCTACGTTGACCTTGTCGGCGGTGATGAAGTTCTGTACAGCCAGTTCGGCGACCTTGCGGACGTAGTTGTGGCGCTTCTCTTCACGAAGACGGGCGAAACGCAGAGCGGATTGACCACCACGGCCGTGCTTCTTGGGGAGATCGACGGAGAACCTGCACCGATTAGTGAGCTGTATGCTAAAAGGTATTGGTCGCACTCACTTGTGGACAATCTCACGCGTGTTTCCAGACAGAGTGCCAAAGAGCGCACCGTTTCCGTCCATGATGATGAAGCCAAACTTCTGATCCGACTCTAGCAGTTCGCTCAGGGCCTCGGTGTGGAATTTGTTGTCGCAAAGGTATAGCGACGTGTTGATAGGCTTGAAGGGCTCGAAGTCGATGTTGATCTTGCGCTCCTTGCCTTCCGCGGTGATAATTTCACCGCAGTAGACAACGAGGCCATTGGGCGGGACCTTTGAGTAGAGCTTGAGGCGCTGCTGGGTCGAGGTAATGGCCGACAGGACGGAGAGACGGTTGACGCGCGACTTGATGTTGGAGGCGGTACCCTGGAAAATTAGTGACGGCGCCGGCGCAGGGTGTCCTGGTACTCACGAATTCTTCAGCCAACATCTTCGCGGCACGTGAAACCTGATCCTTGGGCGCTGCACATGGTCAGTCTGCGGCATTTTGCTAGGTCGTCAGGTGTCACATACGGATGATGAGGGAAATCATGGATGTGCCATTTCCGCGGGCTGCTTCGAGGCGCTTGATTAGCTTCTTGACCTTCCAGATCTCGATGTTCTTCTCAGCCTCATTGGGCTGCTCATTCTTCCCGGACGACATGGTCGCGGCGGTGGTGTCGAGGTGAGGTAGTGGTGTTGGTGGGGTCGAGAGATTTTCTTGTTCGGCGAGGGGCAAGAACAAGCGACGTAGCTGCCGACTGGCGGCGGGAGGAGGGTGGAGAGCGCGGCCTGTGACTACTGCGCGCCTTGGCTACGTGAATGCGAAAGTCTTCAGGAGAGGCAAACGGCAGCCCACTCGGCTTATGTGAATTTATTTGTCCCTGACTGTGCCCGTAAGGCAGCACAGTCACGGTAGGGCAGTCGACTGGGCGCTGACATAGGCTCGCTTGCACGGCCACTCAGCGGGCGGCGGGCATGGAGAGCAGCAGCAGCGCATGTGCAGTAACCCGTTATCAGCGCGTGCCTTGGGTAGCTCCGGCTGGGGGCAGCTATGACGGCAGACCGGCGGGGCCGCATGAATCCCTCGTGATAGCCATCTTGACTTTCTGCGTCTTTCTATGGCAGAAGTGTCTCGCTCGGCGCTTTTTTATATAATCAGGACGGTCATGGATAGCGGCTATCACCCGCAATCCACCAGGCGCAATCTCATCCCGACGATAGCCAGCTATCGACTCAAGTAGCTCCCGCCTCCCTGCAGGGTTTGAATCAACAGTTTTAGACGATATATCGCCTGTCCTGCCCCATACGTTCTTCTTGGTCGCGCCTGCTCCATCTGTCGTGACGCCCTGACATACTCACCATGGATAACAGAGGGAAGCAGCCATCCGCCTGGAGCGCATACGACTCCAACCGCCCATCCATCGACTCGGACACGGAGAGCCATGTGCAGTGGGACGAGCTCTCGAGGCGGCCCAGTGGAGAGAGCAACGCCGGGAGGTGGACGGGCACCGCGGGAGAGCTGCGCAGGCGGAGGTGAGCATATCGCGCCGCTCGCGTGACACCGCAGCTAACAGAAGGCAGGTCTTCCGTAGGACAGCAGATTAGCGCGCTGGGCGAAGTTGGAGGCGTCAACAGCATAAACAACTTTGCGCGATCGTGGCAGCGTGCAGCCGGCTTCTTCGAGATCACCCCCGTGCGCCCTTCCTTCCGTGTCGAGACAGACGACGAAGGCGACGACACAGAGGAATCAGACTTCTCGCGCAGCGGACTGCCCACACCAGTACCCGACCAGCGATCCGCCCTGCGACAGGCCTTCCAGAACGAGGGAAGACGCGCATCCGACAATGCCATCACAGACGAGGAGAATGGCGCGACCGAGCGGAGCCAGCTGCTGCCCAACGGCGTCGAACAGCGCCTGCGAGGGAGAGGGTCGAGCATCTTCCAGATCGAACCTTCGCTATCGTCACCCTTCGGCGCGAGCTATGGCACGGGATACGGCAGTCTGAGTTCGCGCGTCAACGAGTCGTCCATGCGCCATGCCGGCCGACTCTTCACAGAGCAACAGATGAAGGGCGTTGGGGAGCCAGAACAGGAACGAGAGCCACTTCTGGTCAAGCAAGTCGAAGAGGACGGACACATCATAAACGTGGTCGTTGGCCAATCCACACTTCCCCAGACAATCTTCAACTCCGTCAACGTTCTGGTCGGCGTTGGACTGCTCACATTGCCACTTGCGCTCAAGTACTCTGGATGGCTGATAGGCATGGTTTTCCTAGCGTGGTCTGCCATAGTAACCGGCTACACTGCAAAGCTACTTGCTAAGTGCCTTGATGTCGATGGTTCCCTTATCACCTTTGCTGATCTTGCGTACGTCTCTTTTGGAACAAAAGCGCGGGTAGCCACCAGTATTCTATTCTCTTTGGAGTTGCTAGCAGCATGCGTAGCACTGGTCGTGCTTTTCGCTGACAGCATGGACGCTCTCATCCCCGGTTGGGACGTTTTCCAATGGAAGATTGTCTGTGGGCTGATCTTGATACCATTGAGCTTCCTACCCCTCCGCTTTCTGTCATTCACATCTATTCTGGGTGTAATGTCTTGCTTCGGAAGTGAGTTCACAACTACATGCTTCATATACGTCAGCTAACACGAAATAGTCACCCTCGCTATATGGGTCGATGGACTTGCCAAACCCGACGCTCCCGGCTCCATCCGCCAGCCCATGACTCAATACCTGTTCCCCGACAACTGGATGACCGTGCCACTCTCGATTGGTCTACTCATGTCTCCTTGGGGTGGCCACTCTGTTTTCCCAAACATCTACCGCGACATGCGACACCCATACAAGTACAGGAAGGCCGTCAATGTCACCTACATCTTCACCTACTTGATCGATGTCGGTATGGCCTGCGCTGGTATCCTCATGTTCGGAGACGGTGTCAAAGAGGAAGTGACGAGCAACATCTTCCTCACCAAAGGCTTCCCTCAAGGCATCTCCGTTTTCATCGCCATCTGCATTGCCATCATTCCGTTGACCAAGATCCCGCTCAACGCACGCCCCATCGTCAGCACGTTGGAAGTTCTCTTCGGTCTGGACACGCGCTCTCTGGCCATGTCCTCGTCCATCGACGGCATGAGCGGACTCACTCGAGGAGCGCTCAAGATCACCCTTCGCATCGTTACCATCGTCATCTTCGTTATCATCGCAATCGTATTTCCTTCATTCGACCGCATCATGACACTCCTCGGCAGTGTCGCCTGCTTTAGCATTTGCATCATCCTACCCTTGGCGTTTCACTTGAAATTGTTTGGAAAAGAGATATCCAGTGGGGAGAAGACGATGAACTGGGTGTTGATTGTCGTCAGCACTATTATGGCTATCATCAGCACTGTTTTTGCATGCCTGCCCAAAGAGATGATTGGGGCTTAGGAACGAAAGTATGGATATCATGACGATGTCGGAATGACAATA